CTCTTCTCCCTTGTGCAGATAAATTTATTTGGAAAATCACTGATTGATTGATTGATTGATTTTTTGCTTTTGGGGTCTTTCCTCAATATTGAACTCAGTGGTTGGGAACCCAGTATGGTCTTAATTAAATGAGCTTATTAGTCACCTTCAGGAAATAATATTCAGGTCTTAAAATCATAATAATACTCATGTCTTAAAATAATAATATTCATGTCTTAAAATTCCCATGGAAGTTGGGATTGGAAGAAATGGTGTCGTAATCAATAATGATGAAACAACGTACGTCTACTCCTACCTCTTTTTAAATTGCAATTTTGTGATTCAAAATGGTTTTTTTTTGTGAGCCTACTCATCTGTTATAAAAATTTTCTATTCCATATGAATAATTCTTATTTTTTCTAATTACAAAAATAAATGAAGGGCTGGGGATGTGGCTCAAGCGGTAGCACACTCGCCTGGCATGCGTGTGGCCCCGGTTCGATCCTCAGCACCACGTACAAACAAAGATGTTGTGTCCGCCGAAAACTAAAAAATAAATATTAAAAAATTCTCTCTTTCTCTCTCAAAAAAAAAATGAATAAAATCTAAATTCTGTCCATCTTTCCAATTTTTCAGAATAAACTCAGTTTTCTGTCTTTTCTATTTCTGTTTGAATTGCATCTTGATTTTTATAATTTAAAATGGTATATTTTTGTCAGTTTATATAAAGCTTACTCTTCTAAATAGTTGCACTTTATTCTATTTTCTGAATGGTGTAGTTTAATTATAAAGATCTAGAAGGTAACGTTATTAGATAACTGGCTCTATTTTCTACTTATTATTTGACAGGCTAGAATAATTCACTATTGTCATCTTCAATAAATGTGACACAACTATATCATACTGTCAACAATAACCACATAATAAGTCAGATCATTAACATGAGGAACACATTTTGTAATATTTTTTATAAGGCACACAAAAAATGATAGTGCTCAAAAGCTGGGATAATTTGAAAAAACTTAATAGGGATTTTCCCCCCAATGAATGAAGATGGGCAACTGAGTAACATCTCTGTGTGTGTGTGTGTGTGTGTGTGTGTTTGGGTCTATTTTTAAATTTTAGGCCAATATTATTGCAATATTTCATTCCTTTCAATAAACTCTGGAGATTAGACTCTATTAGAAAGTTCTTCACATTATTTCTTGTGGAGAATTTTTACAGGTAAATCAATACTCCATAAGCTCACCTATTGGCATTGAAGTGAGAGCTTTAATTCAGTCTCATGACTATATCTAGTAATTAATTTCTCAAAAACAGACACCAATTCCATCTTTTGCCTAGTTGTTGTCAAAGGTAGGCTCTACACTTAATTGGTTATAACACTGTATGCTATTGAGTATAATTATTATTTTACTGCTGCTTAATATCTGTCACAAGCTAGGTACTATTCTATGATTTTCATAATAATAATTTAATTCTCAAAACAATCCTAAGAGATAAGTAATATTATTCCAGTTTTATGTAATAAAAAACAGGCCTGTAAAGTTGAAGTGAGCATGAAGAACAGGAGCTGAAACTGAGACACAAATTTGATATTAAGGCCCAGATCTTTAATCAGTCTGCACACTGCCTGAATAAATGAATCGAAACTAATAAGCACTTTTTGCTTCAATAATGTGCATATTTTAGTCTTCCAATGATTTACTATGTAGTATATAGTTTTGTTATTTATACAAACTACTTTGTTCTAATGTATTGGGGCAAAGATATCAAAGAAAATGGGAAATGATGATAGTACTAACACACTGAACACATTAATAGTAATAGCATTTTTAAAATATTGGATATCAATCTTAATTAAATTTTTAAAAACTAAAACTATATACCCCTTTATCTTACCTGTGTCCTAGAGGATAGTCTTATTCTTAAGAATTTGAGCCACGGTGTCTGGTTAAGATAATAAACAGATAAACACAGACTAACACACTTTTCTTCTAAAAACAACCTTTTTTGCGGGGCAGTTACCAGGGATTGAACTCAGGGGCACTCAGCCACTGAGCCACATCCCCAGCCCTATTTAGAGACAGGGTCTCATTGAGTTGCTTAGCGCCTCTCTGTTGCTGCGGCTGGCTTTGAACTTGTGCCTCCTGCCTCAGCCTCCTGGGCCACTGGGATTACAGGTGTATACCCCTGCACCTGGCTAGAAACAACTTCTTATACCACAATATATTATATGTACTGCTTAAGATATTAATCCTTACTTTTTAATTGAATAATATTCTTTAAAAAAGTTCACTTACCTACAAATTTCCCTGGCAACAAATTCTAAAGAATGGTGTTGGCATATTTTATCTCTCAATATCTTAAGGTATATATATAAAATGCCAGAGAGGTGCGCTAATACCTCTTACTATGCATTATATTATCTGTAGAAATCTAAGTGAGAGGTAACAACTCAAAATGAATAAATAGCAAGCCAGTAACTACATATGGTAGCTGTAATTTCCCTTGCTAACAAAAATCCGATTTGTCCTTCCCCTCATCCATATGTTTAAAGGGGAAAATAGTCTTTTTTGAATTATCCCTTCTATTATATAGTTTCCCAGATTTTTAAATTCTTCTACATTACTCAAGTGATTCTATTAATTGTACCATATCTTCATTTGTTTAACTGTTTTTCCTGATGATTTTGAACCTTTTAGATAAAAAGTAAGGTCTAACTCTGTGTGTGTGTGTGTATGTGTGTGTGTGTTGTATAAACATGAGAAGAGCATTTGGATAAAAGTAATTTCAGAGATGAAGATAGTATTTTATTATTATGGAAATCTGCAGGGATTGCCTAGCTAGATGAAAAATATGAATAGTAGCTTCTGAAATTATCATAAGACTGAGACCATAGATTGCAGCAATGGTAATTTTAGTATAAAATTTCATTATGCCAAAAACAAAAGATTTTGGGATTTTTTTCTTTCTTTGAATATAAGTTCATCAAAAGATTTGCTGCTTTCCTCAATTAAATTCTTGCAATTAAATTCAGCAAACTAAATAGGAAAGATCCTCAGGATAAAAATGACTATGTATGCTGGGTTCGATCCTCAGCACCACATAAAAATAAAATAAAGATGTTGTGTCCACCGAAAACTGAAAAATAAATATTAAAAAATTCTCTCTCTCCCTCCCCTCCCTCAAAAAAATGGCTATGTCATCTAAGAATTCATAATAGTCAAGAAACAGATTGTTCAGCAAAGTCAAATACATAATGAGACTTTAAGAAAGTAAATGTTAGAAAGACTTCAGAATTTATAGGTATAATAGTACAGATTGTTACTGATGGTGAAAACTGAATTCACCCAAACAGAACATGTTCTTTTGGCACCACTTTTGGATGCTTTTCATTTCCTCTCACTTAGTCCTTTTTCTATGTATTTCTTCAGAATAAAAGCAAGGCAAGGAGTTTGTGCTGCCACTCCAACATCTCCAAGAACTGATATACTAGGGCACTGTTATACACTTAATAGGAGCTCAATTAACACTTCCCAAATGAATAGTGATTATTTTTAAGTGATAATTTTTTTTTTTTTTTTTTTTGGAAAAAAGTCTAGATACAGTAAAAATTTTAAATTTTTAAATAATACCTATCTAAGAAAATATCTTAACATTCAAATTTAGTATTCTATAGAAAGTACAACCTACCAAGGTGTTACAGAGAAGAGGAACTTTATCTTGTATAGTATACAGGAATTTTGGACCAAAAGTTGGGTCAGCAGTACATGATTTGAACATTCATAAACTCTGAAAACTGTATCCTAGTTTAGTTTACACTCCTCTTTTCAATTTCGACTAGACTTTAAGAAGCTAATGGAAATACAATACAGGTATTGCTCCAATTAAAACCAGATTCTCAGGTTTAAAACAAATGGATGACTTGCCCATTTGTTTTGCTACACACCCCAAGTAAATGATAAGTAAAAATTATTGATCCTCATACTCAAAAGAGACCTTAGAGACTATCTAATCCACTTGTTTTCCAGATAGAAAAACAAATAAAATTTAGTTTTAGAGTCTATTTTTTTAGCCTAGTGCTCTTTTAAAGGTAATATTGACATATATATGGAAAAGGATAAAGATAAATGAAAGGACACATTTCAAGTCCTATGAGGAAAAAGATTTTCTCTACCAGTTAAATTCTTTTCTCCCCACGGATTTAATTAAGTTCTAAGAAGTACTTACACAGGCAAGTAACTGGACTGTTTATTTGTGGCTCCCTTTGTGAGATTTGGGTGAAATTAGTGGGTACTAACAATTATGTTAAAATTTTAATTAAATTACATATTTCTGGGTCACTAGCCAACCATTATTCATTCTACTATTCCATTAAAACCTGAAAAAAGACCTTAAAATATATTCTATCTACTTTGTTTAGCAATCAAAAGACTGAGGCTCAGAAACAAATGGGAATTTTTATTTTACAATAATCTTGGGGAAAAATATTCTGCCTTTAGAGAGGGAGCAGTAGTGCAGTTCTAGAAATACAACACTTGGCTCCTGAAATCAAACATCAAATGTCCTCATACAGGATAATAAAACTGATTTTTTTCTTTTGAATAATAACATGACATATTATGCTATTTTGTATAACACATCACATACAATTAGATAAATTACAAAAATGATATAATGTATTAATAGGAGGCTAGGAGTAACATAATAAAATTACCATCTTATAGCATGGGACTGTCATCTGAATTGTGAAAAGCTAAACACCTAGATGTTTCGACATCTAAGAAGTCATCATCCAAGGTTACTTCACTGAGACAAAAATATATTTTATTTTTAAGAGTCCATACATATTCCAATAAAATCATATTGGTATTGGAGGAAGGAAGGAAGGAAGGAAGGAAGGGAGGGAGGGAGGGAGGGAAGGAAAGGAAGGAGTCCTGTATTATGTATGCTTAGTTAATCTGGACATGGAATCATTATTTCTTATTCTTGTTTACAACCTTTGCTTACCCACATACCTAGGAGGCTGAGGCGGTTCCTTCAAGTCACTGGGTATGAGGTTATAAATGCTCTCAGTAAAGCACGTTGAATCCATCATCACCAAATGACTTCTTAACTACTGTTCTCAACTTTTTTCTCACTATACTAGTATCTCAGTCCCTTTCTTCACAGCTTCCCCTTTCTTTTTCTTGCTTCCTTGCTTTCTCAAGGAACTCAAGTTTCTCTTTCACATAATCTCCCCTTTGACCCCTTCTTAGCAGTTCACTCTGGAGAAGAAAATACCCTGTCTATTCCTCCCAGGAATGCTTAGCGTTGTTGGCCTTGCGGTTGCTGTGGAAACAGTTACTAGGCGACGGGGAGATGGAAGGCCGCATTGCAAACCAGGTTTCCTCTTGTCTTTCTGCAAGGCTTTTTTCCTGTCTGAGAAATTCATATGGAAGCCCCTGTGCCTCTGGAAAAAAGGGATGAAAACAGTGTCCTCTAGAACATTTTGCTTTTTTCTCACTTTGTACGTTTGGAGAAAAAATTCTACTACAGCCGAAACCCAGGGGCGCGCAGGCGTCACACACTAAAGCTCTAGTGCGCAGGCCCCAATCCTGGCTGGGGCTAGGAAAGCCCCTGCGGCCGAGCTGACGCAGGGGCCCACGTGGCGAGCGGGATGACGAGGGCGGGGAGGAGCCCAGGAGTTTGGAGGGCGGAGCGCGGGGGAGAGTCACGTGCCCAGTGCTCGGAGCTCGGGCGTGGGGCGTGGCCGCGTAGGTCGGCGCAGGCGCAGAGGCCGCAGCGCGGGGCGGGGCTGGCCTGCTGAGAGCCGGGGTTATGGGGCTGTCTATTGAGGTGGTATTGGCGGTTTATGAACTCTTTCCATTTCCTTTCCTTTTCCCCGTCTTCTCAGTGTGATTTTCTTGGTGAGTTACTGGAGGAGAAAGAAAGGAAAAGTAGAGACCAGTCTGTTTCCATCGCATGCGTTTCTCCCATCGTTCCTTCTTTCCGCTACTCAATTGTAATCTCTGTTTTGAGCTTATTCTACCTGCTGCTTCCGTCTGAGGCTCCTCAGACCCCCCCCCCCCCCTGCGGAACTCTGCCCTGCCCACCATCGGTGCAAGTGCACGCCCGCCATCCCGCGTCCACCTGCTCCTTCCACCTGTGCCGCCCTTGCCCTCCCCCTCGGCCCTCTGCGCCTTCCTGCGCTACCTGGTGAGCTCTCTGCCCCCGCTACCCTCTGGGCTGGCGCTTCCCTCTCCAGTTGCTTTCTGCAGACCTGTGCCTGAGCAGCGTCGCCTGGACCAGCGAGCAAAGTTGTATTTCAGTGAAGCAATTTACAAAAACAGTGATGGGCTACATTAAGTGGTAGATTGTAGTTTGTGCAGATATCCAGTGTAAATTGTACTATATTGTACATCAGCAAATTAGGCGTTTTTTGCTAATGATTATTTTAATATATTTAAATAAAAATGGCTATAGTAGTGATATAAATAAGACAGTTTGAAAGGAAAATAAGCCCTTCATAAAAGTAACTAGAACATTTTTATAGTATTGAAAGAGTACTTGAAAATCTTTTCAATCAAATACTTGAGGCTATTTGGTATGAACCATTAACAACAGGGCTAACAATCTAACAAAAGGAAAAGCTTAGTCGGATTTGATAGCAATTTTAGAACAAAGATAAGTGATGAACTTGTAAAATGGCTGTAAGATCTTTGTGATTACACGGTGGCCTTACACTGTGTGCTCCTTCCACCAGCTCTCCTTGTCTGTTTCCTGGGAAGTAGGGGACTAACTGAAGGCCTCTTAGGTTTTGGGGTCTGTAGTCAGAAACAGCAGAGCTTTACTTCCCCTTGGCGAGTGTATCCTGGTACATTTCCATCATACAGTTGCCATAAAAGTGCAGTAAATTTAAAGAATTTTTGAAAACATCAGAACACTCTTCTTTATAAGATAATGAGCTAGATCTAGAGAGTCACTTTTCTGAGAAATTTTAAAAAGAAATTGTATTAATATTAATTTAGAATGATGAGCATACTCATGGCATAGACTTTCTTTTAGAAGATCTTTGAACTACAGCTAGTTCTCATGAAATAATTTTTGAAGTGGTCTGTCTTGTGTTTTGGAAAGACATATAATAGCAAGCAAATCTTTTAAATTTATAGCAAATGCTACATAGTTTTGGTTAAACAGGGTTTTAAGGAGTCCACAGATTTGAAAACTAGATAATTTTATAGTAAATTTAAAAATTCTTACGATTTGGAAGTACAAATTGATACATTAGAATATAATTTTAGTTGATTAACATCTAATAGTAAACTTAAAATACTGTTAAAAGGTTGCTGAAAATTAGTATGTACTTGTTTAAATGTGTAAGCATATTAGCATTCATAGGAAAAATTTTAGTGTTTTCTATAATTTTTCCTCTTGAAATCTTTAATTTTGGTTAGCTTTTGACAGTAAAATTGTTAAATCTTGTGCATGAGGTCACACAGTACTTGAATTCATGTGTACAAGTGGACATTCTGGTTTTGTTTCTTAAAGCTATCATGCTGACACACCCTTTTTGTTTACCTATTTAATGTAAAGTGTCTTTTATGTTTATAAAGGATCTACTGGAATTAGTGGTTCAAAAAAGTTCCGCTATAAAATGTGATTAATAGAGAAACTCACTTAAAAAATTGTTAACATGAGGAGCTAGGGCTGTAGCTTAATGGTAGATATCTTGCCTAGCATGTATGAGGCCCTGGGTTGGATCCCTGGCACTAAAAAAAAAAAAAAAAAGAAAAAAAGAAAAAAACCTAATGTGTAATGGAGTTGTGTGGAAATCTGTGGAATTAAGGAACGTAAAGTATTTTTGTGGAGCATTTGCTTGACCAAAAAATATTCAGAATTAGCAATAGAGTGAAACCTGATTATTGATGTCCAAACTATTTGTTTTGTTTTGTATTTTGCAATACTGAGGTTTGAACCCATGGTCTCAGTACATGCTAGGCAAACACTACACTGAGCTACATCCCCAGTCATTTTGATTTTATTAAAATAAACTTAGGGTCTTACTTAGTTGCCCAGGCTGGCCTTGAACTTGTGATACTCCTGCTTCAGCCTTCTTAATAGCTAAGCTATTTGCTAAGCTATTTGGTTTTCGATTTTGATTCCTATATGATTGCCTTCCATTTCAGTTCAGGTAGTTTTGCCCTTTAAAGAAAAATTGCTTATTCATTATCACTATAATGAAGAACATATTAAAATATTAATAAGTGAAAAGATTTAATAAAATCATTTTGAATAAAAGAAAAATGATATACTGTTGATCCTCACTATTCACAAATTCTATATTTTTGATCTGCTAACTAAAATGTATTTGTAACTGCCACATCAACACTTCAGTACCACTTTTATAGGCATTCCTGGACAAATGCAAAGCAGTGAAAATTTTGAGTAGTGTCACATGCATGTTCCTAGCTGATGTCAAACAAGGTGATGCTGCCTTCTTGTTTTAGTTCTTGTGTTATAAACAAATATCTTTTTCACATTCTATTTAGTGCCACATTTTCCACATTTCTGTGTGTTAGTGAGTGACTTTGCTGATTAAATGGTCCCTAAGCTGAGTGCTGAAGTGCTATGTAGTGTTCCAAGGTTCAAGAAGGCTGTGATGTGCCTTACAGAGAAAACAGTTTTGTGTGATTAGCTTCATTCAGGCTTGAGTTACAGTGCTATTGACTGAGTTCACAGTAAAGGATGAGCAGTATAAATGTCTTACAAATGGAAACACAGATAAAGATTACATGTTGATGGGTTAGCAAGAATCTTGTGCCCAGAGGCTCACAGGAACCTAACCCTGTATTTCCTCTGGGAATAATGGTTCAGTAGTCAACAACAGTAAAGACTCTATTGGACATAATTACCATGGATAATGAGAATCGATAGTATTACCTCTTAAGTAAAAATCCAGTTTACAGAATGTTACGTGTGGGGGCATTATACCATATTCTTTTGTCTTGGTTAGCTTAAAATAGACTTGAGTATAAAGGTTCTAAAATTAATTTATGGCTAGATGTTACAAAATCAAATTTGGTATGCAACTTAAATACAATTCATCTGTATTTTTCTTTAGAAATGGTAATGTTCGTCCTATGTTGTAGCACTTAACTGCTTTCAGCTAATCTAAGGAAGATTTGTAGTAAAAGAATGTTGATACAGAATTTATAAATTGAACTATCATCATTTTCTCTCTTTAATTCATATCCATTTTGCTCCCCCAGACTCTTTTGAAAAAGGGAAATGAGATAAAATAAAAAATGAGAGGGCATAGGGGAAGTAAGAAAAGGGAAGATTGCAAAAGGTAAAGTTAACACATGTAATGTTTGCCTTCTCTTAATGAAGTTGATGTTAAGCATTATAGCAACCAGCGTAAAGTGGAAGATAAAAGATTCAATGTTCATAAAACAAACCAGGTAATGCACAATAATTCCTGATACAGAGATCAAAAAAAAGTTATGAATTGCAAACACAAAGGCACTCTGTAATGTTTTAAGCAGAAACTTCTTGAATGGGAGGTTAATCAGGCTGTTTTACACAGTGCCCTTATAGCATGTAGTACTAAAGTATACAATGAAGTTTAGTAAATTGCTCTTATGGTTCAAGTGTACAGTTCTCTCTGGTCCTTGGTTTACTCCAGGAAAAGGATCAGACTCGGCATAGCAAAATAGTTCTTAATGCAGGGATGAGTACTACTGTTTTATCTGAAAGTTTATAAACAAACCAAACTACAAAAACATATGCCTAGGCTTGTGCCTGGATATTCTGATTCAAGTTATATGTTCTTAGTCCATTGTCATCGAGTAGCAAAGATTAATATTACTATATATCAATAGTCTTATATGCTAACTACTATGATGTATGTTTTGAATTTATTATAGACCCATTTTAATAGTTAAGAAGTACTTGTGTAGCAGATGCCTTATTTTTGGGCTTTATGTAAGTATGTATTATACAAATCATGAGGTGATTCAGATGAGTAGGATACTCTGAAAGAACAAAGAACAATTCAGACATTTCATAGTTTTATTCTGTCTGATTTTTTCCCTCTGATTATTACACAGTTAAATTGCTGAAATTTTAGATGTAATTGTGAAAGATTTTTATATTTATTTAGTTATATTGCCTTTTTTTAAAAAAAAAACAACCTTTATTTTTTAGTTGTAGTTGAACACAATTTATTTATTTTTATGTGGTCTGAGGATCGAATCCAGGCCCTTGCATGTGCTAGGCAAGTGCCCTACCACTGAGCCACAACCCCAGCCCATGGTTATATTGTCTTTTTAATCCTTAATAGAAATACTTACAGTACTGTTGAGCAAAATTATTTTCTCTGATAATACAAATGTTGAAAAAGAAATTATAGTATCTTAATCTAATAATAGATTTGGGGAAACATGAAAAGGTGAATTTTTCTTTTAAAAATTTCAGATGAAATTTTAAATAATAAAGTCATTACATTGTAGAATTTTATGATACTGAATGCAGTTATGTTTAACTTGAAATTTTTCCCTTATAGATTTCATTTTTTTGCAGAAATCACCTTTGCTCCAGAATCAACAAACTCTTCGCCTAAGATTGGTTCCTGTGTATCCCATGTTTATAAGTCAGTGGAGTCAAGCCCTAAACACACAAGCTGAAAAGTCAAATAAGGGAATGAATTCTTTCTTTTGACAGTTTTTACTTGTAAGTTAAATTCAAAATTATCTTAAATTGTTTAAACATTAAATCACCAATTTAGCTTAATCAGTAGTACATGATTGAAAGTTTTCAGAACATATTTGAACATACCCTTTAATATTTGGCATGACTTAGTCACATATTAGTTATAATTAGAGAACATGTGAAAAGCCCCCACTATAAAGTTACTTCAATTTGAGTGACTATTGCAATAATTATTAAATTGCATTTTGCATGACAAAAAAAAATTGATTTACCTAGCCTATTCACCACTGAGTATATTTCCAAAGACAGGAACTTGATCAATATGGAGAATTGTAGAGGATCTTTAGAGGCCAGAATAATTTTTTTCTTTCATCATTGGCAACCTCCCTGAATTTCTTGGCTGTCTTCTCTGGAGTCTGGAATTTGAGTTAAGTCTTGCCACTAATGATGTTATAGGAATAGAAATAAAAATGATGGGCCCATGTAGATAAGGTTATAGATATAACCTTTGACTTTATTGATGATTATTACTTTTTCTTAGCTATTTGCATATTATACCTTTCACTTTGGCTTTTTTAAGGCCTTCAGTATGAATAATATGTAGGTATTATTCTTAATATGCATGTAAAAAGCACACAGGAAAGAAAATGTCATACATTTGTCTGTAGTTTAGAAAATTACTTAAGCATTTTATAAGCAAATATGTTCTTTTATTCTAGTTTTCTGCTGTGAATTCTATAATAAGAACTTGATAAGTAACATGATAATCCATCAACCTGTTCATATAACTAGAGAAATTGAACATAAAGAATATTGTTCAGCTTTGTGATTACAAGTTATTAATACTCCAACCCAAATTCTCTTTGCATCTGTTATAAAATATATAAACCAATAAACTGTAAATCAGTTTTTGTTACAGTATTCCATAAAAGTACACACTGATTTGATTTAGTATATATTTTTAAAACATCTGATGTGACATTTCTGACTTGAGTTTTCTGTTTATAGTTACTTTTTTGTGGTTCTGGGAATCATACTTATTTTTTGAGTTTTTTTCCAAGTGTTTTGAGATTTGAAAAGATACTGTTAAAAAGAGTAATATATAATATATGGGCTATTTTTTTAAGTGTCCCATTCACTTGGAAGACTTTTAAACAGTTTATGTATAGTGGGCATGGTTATATTCAAACCTATGATCTTACTAACCAATTGTCTCTTTTATTTTTATGTCTTTAAAAAGGTTAAACCCAATTACTAAATTGGCTCAGACAGAAAAGTGAAGAGAATGCTCCGTTTTAACCGATATCAGCATCTGAAACAGATAACACAAAAATGTGTTTCTAGTATACATGTTAAAACAGATAAACATACACCACTATTTCTTTCAAGAACCTTTGCACTCACAGAATTAAGGAAGTCATGGTGTTCAACCCACTCTCTTTTGGGAGACAAAAATATTATCCTAATGGGACCTCCTGGTGCTGGAAAAACAACAGTAGGCAAAATAATAGGGCAGAAACTAGGTCGTTGTGTCATAGATGTGGATAATGATATTCTTGAAAAAACTTGGAATATGAGTGTGTCTGAAAAATTACAGGATGTTGGCAATGAGCAATTTTTAGAAGAGGAAGGAAAAGCTGTGTTAAACTTCTCTGCATCTGGAAGTGTGATTTCCCTCACTGGGTCCAATCCCATGCATGATGCTAGCATGTGGCATCTAAAGAAAAATGGCATAATTGTATACCTGGATGTACCCCTAATGGATATAATTAGCCGTCTAAAATTAATGAAGATAAATAGAATTGTAGGTCAGAATTCTGGAATGTCTATGAAAGAGTTACTTAAGTTTAGGAAACAGTATTATAAGAAGTGGTATGATGCTCGAGTTCTTTGTGAAAGTGGGGCTTCCCCAGAGGAGATAGCTGACAAAGTGCTGAATGAAGTTAAAAGGTACCAAGATGTGGACTCAGAAACATTCATTTCAACAAGGCATGTTTGTCCTAAAGACTGTGAACAGAAGGTTTCAACAAAATTCTTTAGCGAAGCTGTGATTGAGGGCTTAGCTTCTGATGGTGGACTGTTTGTTCCTGAGAAGGAGTTCCCAAAATTAAGCTGTGGGGAGTGGAAAAACCTAGTAGGAGCAACCTATGTAGAAAGAGCACAGATACTCTTGGAAAGGTGTATACATCCTGCGGACATACCTGCTGCCAGATTGGGAGAAATGATTGAAACTGCTTATGGTGAAAACTTTGCCTGCTCAAAAATTGCTCCCGTCAGGCACCTTTCAGGCAACCAGTTCATCCTGGAGTTGTTTCATGGGCCAACAGGATCATTTAAGGATTTATCTTTACAGCTTATGCCTCATATTTTTGCACACTGCATTCCACCAAGTTGCAATTATATGATACTTGTAGCTACTTCAGGAGACACAGGGAGTGCAGTCTTAAATGGTTTTAGTCGTCTTAGTAAGAATGAGAAGCAAAGAATAGCTGTGATCACATTTTTTCCTGAGAATGGAATAAGTGATTTTCAGAAAGTACAAATAGTTGGCAGTCAGAGAGAAAATGCATGGGCAGTGGGTGTCAAGTCAGATTTTGATTTTTGCCAGACAGCTATAAAAAGAATTTTTAAAGATTCTGATTTCACTGGCTTTCTTACTGTGGAGTATGGAACAATATTAAGTTCAGCTAATTCCATAAACTGGGGACGACTGCTTCCTCAGGTAGTTTACCATGCTTCTGCCTATCTTGATCTCGTTAGCCAAGGGTTTATTTCTTTTGGAAGCCCGGTAGATGTCTGTATTCCCACAGGAAACTTTGGAAACATATTAGCAGCAGTGTATGCCAAGATGATGGGAATCCCTATTCGAAAATTTATCTGTGCCTCCAATCAGAACCATGTTTTGACCGATTTTATAAAAACAGGACATTATGATCTAAGGGAAAGAAAATTAGCTCAAACTTTTTCACCATCAATAGATATTCTCAAATCCTCAAACCTGGAGCGACATTTACACTTGATGGCTAATAAAGATGGGCAGTTAATGACAAAATTATTTAATCAGTTAGAAAATCACCATCACTTCCAAATTGAAAAGATTCTAGTTGAGAAACTTCAGGAGGATTTTGTGGCTGACTGGTGCTCTGAAGGAGAGTGCCTAGCAGCTATCAATTCTACCTATAATGCTTCAGGATATATTTTGGATCCACACACTGCTGTTGCAAAAGTGGTTGCAGACAGAATGCAAGACAAAACTTGCCCAGTGATTGTCTCATCTACAGCTCATTACTCAAAGTTTGCACCTGCTATTATGCAGGCTTTAAAGATAAAAGAAATCAACCAAACTTCATCAAGTCAGCTTTATTTATTGGGTTCATACAATGCATTACCTCCACTACATGAAGCTTTATTAGAGAGAACAAAACAGCAAGAGAAGATGGAGTATCAGGTTTGTTCAGCTGATATAAATGTCCTGAAGAGTCATGTGGAAAAACTAATCCAAAATCAACTCATAGGAAGGTTTTCTGGGTAGAATATTTTTTCCTGGTGATAAGCATGCAATAATAAATCTCAAAAGTTGATTTGGAGTACAACAGCATTTGTTTCTATGTAAATGTATACATATATATGTATATATATTTATCTGTTAATTTTTGGAACTTCAGTAGCCTAATTTCCAGGACCGATCATTATACCTACATATACCTCCTTCAATCCTTAATCTAGAAGTGACAAATGGTGGCAAAGTACATGGAACCTTGTGCTATCATGCTTTGCTTTGTGCTCTTGAGGGCTATATCAGTTTCTGCTCCCTCATCTCCACTTTTTAAATGGACCAAAATGTATTCAGTTTTGCAATTAAAAATATTTAAGCACAATTGTTAAGTACTACGCTTGTGACCATTTACTATTTCTCTTTTGGCTAGAAAGTTTTTATTGCTCAAAATACCTAACTTGTTTGGAGGAATTAGTAAGTTCATCTATTAAGGTTAAGGCAAGTATTTTTAACCATTTTTAAACTCCATTTTGAACTTGAATTAATTGTGTGTTTCCTACAATTATCTAATTAGATAAGTGTTCTGCCCTTCACTCCCCTTTGACTATTTATAGTTTGGAGGAAGAAATTTGAAAAGCAAGACAGTATTTAAATCCAGGATGTAACAGTCAACAGAAGTACTTAGAAGTGGATATAGAAATAAAATTACCTATTTCAAGAGGTCAGTTCTCCAAAATTAAGTGTTAATACAGGTATAGGTATTTTTATAGACAGCAGCTTTCCCATATTATTGGAATCCATTTCTGTATAATTGATCTATTAACCCTTCAGTAAAATGTTTTGTTTTCTGTGTTTTTCTTGTTTTGTGGCAGCTACACAAACACTAATACACATTTAATTTGCACTACTATGTAGAGACAATAGATTTAACTAAGATTTATATTTGCAAATTTACTAGATATTTTATTTCTGAATTAAATATTGTCACGGAAAGGATCCATTTGTGTATGGGCTACTCTCAACCACAAGATGGCATGCCTAACATAATTTGTCTTTGTGATAACATTTGTGCCTCATTTTCTGGGAGGACCACCTCCATGAAGAAATGATATTTAAAAGTTGTAATGATGAAGTTTCACCAGGAGCAATTTTTAGAAAGTGTTAAATTATGTTAACATCAGATCTCTTGACTTTACTTCTAAAATGGAAGTTATAAAGCCAAAAATAGAAATTCAGCAAAATAATGGAAGTTTCAAAGTTCTGCACATATTCATGTTAGTGTTTCTCCTCCCCCCCCCACATACCTTTTTTTTTTCTTTTTCTGGTGGTACTGAGAATTGAAACCCAGAACCTGGCACACACTAGGTAAGCACTCTACCAGTGAGCTCTATCCCCAGTTTTTTTAGACAAGCTCTCACCAAGTTGCCAAGACCGACCTTGCATTTGTGATCCTTCTACCTCAAACTTCTCAGTAGCTGGGATTTGCACCACCACTCCTATGTGTATTCATTACTTTATAATTTAAAGATATTTGTTTCAGTAGATGATATGTTTAGAATATGCATCTGAATGTTCACTGTGTGTGTGAGAGTGCTCTATTTTCCTGGAAGTGGAAATGACAGTGAAAGAAGCCTGATTTTTGCCGTGAAGAACTGTACTTAACAAGAGAACACAAACATGGAATTGTGCAACACTAGACTTACTGCAAGATAATATATGAATAAGTGAAAATTGAGTGATACTGCCGATTGCTAAAAAAAGTTAAAGGAAAGGGTTGTTAAGGAATGATCAGAAAAGGTTTCATGGAGGACATTCTGAAATGAGGCTTGAAATGGGAAGATTTTCTAGGTGAAGAAAGGGAAACATTCTAGACGAAGGTCATGTTAGCAGGGGAGGTAAAATGGTAAAGCCCACCAGCATTTATTTGTGGTTAGTTTGCTCTTTCACTCTTCAAAATGGTCATTTCATGTCTCCACTTTTTCTTGAAACTGTCCTTCCACTTTCAGCCAATAACCTTGCTTCATTTCAGAGGAAAAAGTTATTGTGTATAACATCTCTTAGCCTTCCCACATCAAGTGTATAAATCTGCTATACTTATTAGCATCCTTTCCTTCTTCCTTTCAATGAATTTGGTAGCAATCCTCCTCCTTTCAGAGAGCAGTCTCTTCAGATGTGCCTTGTAACTTGTTCCCTTCAACTCAGATTATTTGCTTCAGCTTCTCTTCAACTTCTCCCATCCAGTGGAACCTTCCTGTGGCTTTTAGATGCTCTCTGCATTAAGAGCAAAACTTCTCAACACCCACATTTCCCCCATCTATTTTTCTTTATATCCCAACCAAAATTAAGCTCTTCAAAGAGTTGTCTCCATACAGGGTTTCCATTTTCTTCTTATTTCCTCCACAGTGTATAAAATGTGAACAGTTTAAAGATGAATAATAAATACCTAAGTACTCACCACCTCCTGAGCAGTGAAGAATAGAACATCACTCAGACATTTGGTTCCTGCTGTGGTTTCTGTTTGATTACATTCACTTTTCTCCTCCAGAGTTAACCACTATCTAAATTGAATCATTCATTTTTTAAAAAATAGTTTTATTTTGTTTTAGTTTTGACTCTCTGAATTTTATCTAAATGGAATCATACTGTATGCATGATTCTGGGACCTTTATTTTATTTAGAAACTTTCATCCGGTAAGATGAATCAAGCCATGGTTCATTGATTTTTATTTTTAAATAATAATCTGTTGTGTGAATGTCACTACCTATTTCCCAGTTAGTGGGCATTTTGTCTAATTTGTATCTTTTAAAGATGAACTTTTGTAAAATTTGTGTTGAAGGTTAGTGAATATGGACTTTCAATCATTTGTGATTCTTTTAATAACAGGTAAAACTAGTTTTCAGATCTTGACATTAAAAGTATATGGGTTATTTATGAAATGAGTCATCAATTTTCAGTCTGTGGTTTAATTGTAACTTTTACTATCTTTGAAATTATTTTACAATATCTAATGTAGTGAATTTGTAAGATTTTTGAGAAACATGAAAATTTTAATTACATATTTTGGAAATCATAAAATATTTCAATCAAAATAGAGTTAAGACAATAAATTGTACAAGGTTTCAGAGTTTAATTGCAATTCATTTTCAGAAGTAATCATGGATGACATTTATTGTTTCTCTGAATCCATTAAATCATTTGTAAACATTTTATAATTCAGACTACTTAATGTAAGTTTAAAAAAAGTAACTTTTCATGTGAACATGAAAATATTATATTGTTTTTGTCTCCATCCAGGAAATTGAATAAAATCTACCTATGAAATAGTTATTTGTGTGGTTCCCTTCTGTGCACTTCAACCACTAAAATCATTAGTTTTGTCTCTTTAAAACTTGAAAAACAAATAGATTCCTTCAAAAACAGACTTTTTCAACTTAAGGAAGCAAAGCCAAGAAAGTTGCCAATGTCATGGTCGAAGTCAAACCAAGCAATATTTTGATCCAAGTTCCTACATCAAAAGTTGGGATTGCTTCCTATAGAAGAATGCTTTATTTAAGTTAACTGTTTTTCCTTTTAAATTCAGAGCTGTGAGTGGCAGGTAAATTTAATTTACAAATATTTTAAATAATCCACAATGCTTCATTTTTTTTCCTTTTTTCAAACTTTTTATTGTATTGAGACTTGAACCTAGGTATGCAATACCACTGAGCTACATCCCCAGCCTTTCTTAAAATTTTGAGACAGGGTCTCACCAAGTTCCCCAGATTGGCTTTGAGCTTGTGACACTCCTACCTCAGCCTCCTGAGTATCTGGGATTACAGGTGTGCACCATTGCGCCTGGCTCACAATGTATTATTATTTTGAGGGGGGAGGTAAGCGGGGACTGAATCCAAGGGCACTCAACCACTGAGCCACGTCCCCAACCCTATTTTGTATTTTATTTAGCAACAGGGTCTCACTAAGTTGCTTAGCACGTCGATTTTGCTGAGGCTGGCTTTGAATTGGCGATCATCCTGCCTCAGCCTCTCGAGCCACTGGGATCACAGGCATGTGCCCTGTTGCCTGGCTTCAGAATGTATTATTATTATTACCATTTAGAGAGAGAGAATTTTTTTGTATTTATTTTTTAGTTTTCGGTGGGCACAACATCCTTATTTTATTTTTATGTGGTGCTGAGGATTGAACCCAGCGCCCCGCGCATGCCAGGCGAGCACTCTATCGCTTGAGCCACATCCCCAGCCCAAGAATGTATTATTTTTAATGAACAAATTGTATTTGGAGGATGATCCTAAGGATGAGTAATAAATACTATCTAATAATAATGATTCAATACCATCTAATACTAAACTTAATGGTATCCTATGAGATATTTTTTAAGCAAATGATTTATTACCATTTTTCAAAGTGGGCACTTTAAAGTAGATACTCCGAGCTCATGATAGTTGCCAAAATTAGAATACAGTCTCTAGAAACCATATTGAACAATGACAAGAAGTAAAAGTATTTTGAAAAACAAACTGTCTTCTTAGTAATCTCTAAGATATATGCTAATTTTAAATGACTAATGTAATTTCACACTAATAGAGGCTTACTTATATTCATGATGTTATTAAAATTTAGTTTATAACTATAGTCCACCCATAGAGATTTTTTGAAGCTATGTATTGAGAAACTGATGTGACTCCATTTTTGAGAAACCAGCCTCTACCTCAGAGCAAAGCCTGTCCAAGGAAGGGAACATGACCCTTGTCCTTGGAAAGACCCACAGAGCACTCCTAGGCACATACCCACCCTGCTGAGTTGTTTATCTACAAATAATAGGAGAGATCTAGGCTCCAGGTGTTCCTGACTCAGTCAGGCTAGGTGAGGACCCATAGCAACCCCCTAACAACTACCAATCAGCATGAGACAGGGAAAATACTTGAGATTCCAGATGACCCTCCCAGTAGTTTATGGTGGTTGATAACATGTTGGTACATGAAACCCTGTAGTTCAGCGCTTACTCCCCTCGTGGCTTAAGCCAATCAGTTCAAAGGAATCCCCCTCTTGAACTAACCAATCACCCCTACCCAACTTGTTCCCGCCAGTGAATGTGCTAATCATGTTTTAGAGTTGTTTTATTATTTTCCCACGGTGTGTGATGATTTGCTAAGAGATGCTATGATGTATGTGAAGTCCCTGTCTTCCCCAGAGAGTGTATAAAACTGCTGCAAACCCTGGGCTCGGGGCCTCTCAGCGTCACCAGTTGCTGTGTGCGAGGAGGACCGAGCTAGCTTGCAATAAACGCCTCTTTGCTGCTTACTTCGATCTTGGTCTCTGGTGGTCTTTTGGGGGTCCCAAATTCAAGCATAACAGTATAAGAATAACTTCGCAGCATCCTTGGCAGCACATGTCTCAGGTTTGCAATCCATGTATATCAGTTTCTTTAAAATTAAAGAAAAAAGTTTAAATGTTTTGTTTGTAGCACTCATTATCTTGTATTTTCATTGGATGGAAAGTACCTTTGAGGAAAGAAAAACTTTTTGTGTAAGATTTACAGTTCTTTGAGGAAAGAATTTGAATATTTTCAGTTATTACCTAAGATAGCTGCTTTTTGGTTAAGTAAAATGGGGAATCATCTAGCTGTGTTACTAAAAATTCAGTCTTATTCCTGATGCCAATCCAATAACAAGGACATGATTTTGAGAAAAAGGAAAAGGAAGTTTTATTGTTTTGCTAGCAGAGGAGAAACAAGAAACTCCTGTTCCAGAGGCTGTGATTCTGCCCATCAGGGGGAATAGGAGGCTTTTAAAGAGGTGATTGGAAGGCTGTATTCCTTGTTCTCTGTCTGGAATTGTGATTCACTGGTTAATTTAGGAGATAATCATTTCTGAGATCTTCTGGAGCCATCCCCAATTACTTTGTTCCTGTGATGGGTGTGTGCTCAAGGACAGATAATTCTGCCTAGGATGGAGAAGAAAAGTAATTCTGTTTCCCTGGAGACTAGGGAGGGGGAAGGGGAAGAGAAAGAAATGTCCCTTTTAAAAATAAGTCACAGTGGCAGAGCAGCAAGAACTCCATTCGAGCATAAAGTCAACCATAGTTAAAGTAGGACCTAAAATTAAGGTTTTATTTTTATTTTGGTTCAGAAAAAAACAAATATTATTTGTCAAGGACATCTTTTTTGCCTCACTGATCTCAAAATTGGATTGTCTTTTATTTCTCTGATCTAATTTTAGTTAGTGCCAGCATCTGTGAAGATAACACTGATTATAATTGTCAAATATTTTCCCAACATTGATAAATTTAATATCATTAAAAAGCAGCATTCACAGAATTAGGAATTATAGAAAGAAAGGGGGCAAATAAGCTCGTCTTGGGCTAAGAAGTAGAGGTGGGTGTGGGGTGAGATGAGCTGGCAAGGGGGTCTTTGATCTCTATAAGCTATGTTGGTATCAGAACTGAAATGAGAGTTTTGGAGAAAGAAAAATTTATTTTTGAATTTTTACTGCAGGAAATAGTGTAATGATTCCTAAATATTTATCAAAAGATTATATTCCAGACATTAATTTGGTCTTTTCTAGATAATTAATCTCCTCTACCTCAGCTTTTCTATGTATACTAGATGAGTGATACTTATTATTTGCCCCATTCTGTGGAGAACAACGACTATTGATGTTGCCAAAACCTTGGTTCTTGTCCCCAATGCCAATCTAATAATGAGGACACGGTTTTGAGGAAAAGGAAAAAGGTTTATTGTTTTGCTAGCAAAGGAGAAACATAGGGAACTCCTGTTCCAGAGGCTGTGATTCTGCCTATCAACAGGAACAGGGGCTTTTAAAGAGATGACTCAAAGGCTACATTCCACATGTTCTCTGTTGAAGTTATAATTCACTTGTTAATTTGGGAGAAAGTTATTTCTGAAATCTTCTGGTACCATCCCAAAAGTCTGGATTATTTCCTTCCTATGGTGGGTGTGTACTCAAGGAAACATAAATCTGACTAAGATGGGGAAGAAAGATAATCCTGTTTCCCCTGAGATTGGGGAGGGGGAGAGATTATGGAGGAGTAGGGAGAGAGGACAAAAAATGTATTTTAAAAATAAGTGACAGTGGCAGAGCAGCAAGGGCTATATTCAAAGCATAAAGTGGACTACTCTTACACTGAGATCAATAAACATATAAACCCTCGTTGAAGTAACATTGCTATGTAAATGATTGCCATGTAAACTGAACTATTTTATAGTGAATTGGGAATTGATTCCTCAGTTGGTAATATATGCCCTTGATCAGAAATGTTATACTGCATCGGCTTGATGCAAATGGTGTTTGTTATGGTTTAGATGTGACGTTCCCCCCAAAAGCTCCTGCATTAGTGCAGGAATATTCAGCTCAACATCTTTGGAGAGAACATCTCACCATCATGTGCCCCAGATACCAGAGATGGAGCTGTGGAAATGGCTGGATTTTGGTCTTTCTTTGGCCCCATCCCTTTTTTCTATGCCCCTATTCTTCCCTTTGGGAATGGGAATGTTTACTCTGTGCCATTGTATATTGGTTATATGTAAATTGTTTTTTTTAATTTTTATTTTTACAGGGTTCATAGCCAAGAGATTGCCTTGAGTTTCAAATAAGACTTTAGACTTGGACATTTGGGGCATTCTGAACTGTTAAGACTATGGGACTCTTGGAGATAGACTGCTGGGAGCCATTAGCCAAGTAGGTATGACAATTTCCTTGCCAGCGTACCCCATGTTGCTGACATGTTGCAGTGACATTGAATGTAGGTGACCTTGCTCAAGGACCAAGGCAGATTAGGGTGTTCCCGGTTTTAAGATAATCGTGTTTAGGGCGTTCCCAGTTTAGGTTCCAGGTTTAAGGTTTAAGATTATTCCTGCTGGGAATAGGGCGTATCCTGCTGCCTGAGTTCCCCTTGAGTTCTCACGGGATTCAGACAGTATATTTTGGAGATAGAAGCCCAGTGGAGGTGGATTTGGGAAGAGAACGTGGATTTCCCCAGAACGTGATTGTAGACGGCTGGTGTGAGTTCGGGAATAAAGAGTTGCTGTTTGAATCTACAAGCTGTGTGGTGGCTCGTGATTGTGTGCCCAGCCAGACTGCGGCATTTGGCGGCTCGTACGGGGAACTTCTGAAGCTTGGAGGTAAGTGAAATTGCTTGCCCCTGAGGAAGAGCGAAAGAATGGGTGACCAACTCAAAAAACAATGTGTTATTGTTTTGATTTATCTTGTTTTTGTTTCAAGCTGCCTATCCCTAGAAATTTCTCAGGCAAACTGGAAAAAATGGTTGACTAAAGGTTTGAAGTTTGTCGGCCCTGAGGAAGAGAAAA